AATTCCCAACACAACTACCCTAAAATATTCCTAAAATCTCTCTAAAGGTATCTCTTCTAAGCCATTAGGAATGTATCATGTTACCCCATTCCCTAATCAATTCTTAAAATTTCTCTCCCCAATCTATATCCACTATCTCTCATTTAAAATATTCATATGAATTAATAAATAGTTAAATATAGTTAATATTTAATCCAACCCATATTCAATGAGTATTAAATAGTGTTATTACCAAAAATTAATAAATACGGTTAGTAAATTACCAAAAATTAAATATTCTTATTAGTACAGTTAGAAATTACCAAAAATTAATAAATACTGTTATTAATTAACTCATCATGTGACTTTTTAAAGTAATTTGGGTAAATACTCTTATATTCATGTAAATTAACAACGTTTTATATATAGAAATTGAAATCTCTTAAACTAATTTCTATAAATTTGAGAATTATCCTTAACAATTATCAAAAACTATAAAATTTTAGTTATTGCTATTATTATAGTTAATAACCGATGCAGATGGGGGAATAAAATATTATAATGTTGGAAAATGAAATTATTAATTAATTTACATTGGAAAATAAAATATTAGTGTAATTTTGTTAGTAAACTACCTAATAAAAATAAATATTTTATAATAAAATTTTCAAAATTTTCATAAAACTATATTTTCATAAAAGAACATTTTGGAAATTAAAATATATAAAATTTTTGAAAGTTTATTTAAAATGTCTTAAATAATTATTGAAAATTATTAAAGATAAATGAGTATAGAAAAGGGAAAACTATAATTTGAATCAATAATTACACAAATTATTAAGATAAATTAGTATGATATTAGAAAAAGGAAATTATTGATTAGTTTATATTAGAAAATATRAGATAAATTAGTGTAATTCTACAAGTAAACCATTTAAAAAAAATAAATTATTTAATAACAATTTGAATAAATTTTCAAAATTACACAAATGTGCTAAATTTTCCAAAATTTTCATACAATTTCAATTTTGAAAATTAAAGACAATTTAGTGTACTTTTAGAGTTTTACCATGTTGTTGATATTCAGTACATCCTTTTGGTCATTTTTATCATCAAATTGAATATTAGGTTTAAGGGGAGTGGGTACCTTGCCTTGAACTAGCCCAAGGATTCCCCATCCTTCATGAGGAGTGGGTGTCTTGCCCTGAACTCGCTTGACACCGAGGACGAGCTGGGGAGATTCGAGGATTTCCCCGTCCCTAATAGGGAGTGGGTGCCTTACCCTGAACCCACCTAACACTAGGGATAGGACGGGGATGGGGTAGAGTGTCTTGACTACAGGGCGGGGAAAAGGATGGGGTGTCCCGCCCCATTGCCATTCCCGTATAATTGTTAATTATTAGTAAAATTAATAAAAATGTTAGCTTTTGTGATTATTTTTATTTATTTAAAGTCAATCAAAATTTTATTTAAAAATAATGAAAATAATAACAGTTATTAACAATAATTTTGAATACTTTTAATTAATTAACATCAATTTTTTTATTATTAATTTATCAATTAATTAATAGTAAATAAAATTATTCAATCTTTCGGATTTTTCCATGCATTGCATGGGTCCCTACTTGTGTGTTATATTTTAATAAAATAGGTTCAAAGCCCAACCCACTATGAGTTGCCAACACCATGGTGCACGAAATGGCCACCTCCCCAACAAAATTCTTGGTGATTTCGTATGTGATTGAGAGAATAGATTATAGATGTCTAATCTTAGTCACCCTCAATTGGAAGAGTATAAATGCAAATATGTAATGCAAAATTTTGTATTTTATATGTATTTGTATTTGTACCCTTTTCATCAAACTGAGCCTATTGTTGCACTTGGTTATAGTGAGATCACGTTTTTTTTTTTTAGGTATTGATTATTCGCCTTTTTGCCCCCATAGGGGCCGTAATTCAATTTCCATGGCATACTACCACACTTTTTTATCTAACAACATTATACTCCTCTTAAAGGTGGATTTGGAGCCATTAGTAGTGGGGCTCCGAACCACATCTCATTTGGGGCTTACCCAGTTACATGCCAACCAAGCCACCACTCGGTTGACATAGTGAAATCTCGTTGGGATGGACAATCTGTATCTAGTTCAATTTTGCTTTCATTTGTTTGTAATTATGGTTTGTATTTCTATTTCATACCAAATTTGTCATTTTTGCACAATGTAAATCTTGCATCCCAAAAACTGACTCAAATTTACATCATGCCACCTTGTTCCTACCTCATTTTTTTCATAATAATGAAGTGGGAACCACATCATCTTTGATCTTACCTCACTCCTGGTCCTCCCGCCACCATCCTCTTTCATTTAAGTGAATGGTCATTTCATTGTACGTAGTTACTATTTTACTTCTGATAAATAAACAAATTAAAATATGAAGCAAAAGTAAACCAAACTTACACTCAGCCCATTTGCACTTCCACACATTTACATCAATACAAACAAATTTTGCACTACAAATTAAAACTAATTAGATGAACAAACACACAAATATGATAAAAAAAGAGATGAAAAAAAAAAAAAACAAATGCAACATATAATGGAATCATAAGATATTTTTAGCTTTTCTTTCTTATAATACGATCTTACCCTTCATATTCCATGATGCATGATGCATACATTATATATTATTATTGTTAACTACTCATATAAAGCAGATACCAAACGTTGCAAACACACGAAGAAAAAATAGATATAAAATGGTTCTACTAATTACGCCTGTCCATTTCTAATACAAACCGCATATGCTACAACAAGTGTCATAGCACTTGCTGAAACAATTAAATCAAAACCTTTGATGTGTTATCATGACCCCACCTTAGAATCGGGATCTGCTTTTTACAGAACGCTCCTTGTATCGACCTCACAGCCATATTCCATTGTATGTTGAAAATAAAAATAAATACAAGTATGAAACAGTCAGGACATGCTGTGTAGTCCATGTGAAGAACAAATCGAAACTCTCCAACATGAATAATACATCTAAGGCCACGGTTTTTAATTTTATCCCTTGTCCCTACACTATCACAGTGTCGAACTCTTTCTAGTATCTGATTGGTGCAAAAAACTTGTCCGTGGGACTGGGACCCCCAACACATTGGAACCATACGATTCCTTTTCGTGTATTAACTCACGTGCAATGCACGTGCCTTTGCATTTGATTATGATTTGGATGTGAATTTTGAAAGATACCTTTCCTTAGTCTCAAAATGGGAGGAAAAGAAAAGAAGAGAATAAGGAATATTTATCAAACCAGTTAGTGTCAAGTAGGCGTATGGAAAACGGGAAACCCCCCATTTTTGTTTTTTTTTGCTTCGAAGTAGATGTTAATATCATTAAAAAAGTAACTATAAGAACCCGAATCCCTTTTCATGGGTCCCACCATATATAAAAGCTTGATGAATTTATTATCATGCCGATTCCGAAACAACTTTAACCAATCACAACCCCCAGTACCATCTGATTAAATACTATTTTAATCTTATGATACCAATTAATTGATTGGTTATCAGTTTTTCAGGTGTCATGCATAAAAATCACAACCGAGTATTAGTTTGGATATTCAAGGAAAATTTTATGCTGATTGAGAGAGAGATGATACCGAAACTCTTCAATGAATTTTGATAAAATATATACCATCTGAGTGGTTATCACTCACTCAAATCCTTGTGATAAAAATATTGCATGATCAATATTAAGCTTTTAAGTTGGGGCATCCATCAAATGCGATATGGCACAAATTACAGTACCATAGGTTCCAAACATGTATAAATACAAATATGTATAATAATAAATGCATATAAAATATAAAGTTTTGTACTCTATATATATTTTTGTATTCCTTCTAAATTTAGTCTTATGAATATCACCATACTTGTAAATTTTTATACATGGAGAGATACTCTCAATGTAGAACTGCAAGTGGCTGTGAGTATGATGTGAACATGGCCTATTGAGGACTGAATCCGAGTTCAATGATCTATTGCAAATTTGCAACAATGAAGATGATTTACATGCAAAATACAATATAGGGGATTGCCAGCTGTGGGGTTTCAATTTATATTTGCTTCTTGTCCTTCAAGGTTGATGTGTTCTTTTAAGGTAGACCTGTTCATGGGCCGGTTTCATGCTTAGTTTTTGCCAAAATTTCGAATGGGCTTAGCCCAAAACCAAAGCCCAACACAGTGTGTAAAGTCAGGCCTGAAGATAGGCCTGTAAATAGGTATATTTTGGGTATTTGATTCATGATTTTGTCTGTATTTCATCTGGTTTACAAACACAATCAGCTATCTGCATGCTGTTTGTATGATATTTGAGGGTTTTGGAATCAATAATACCTTTTTACGGATTCCATAAAATATATGGCTCATTCACCACGGCAGATTTAAGGGTGTCAATTAGACTGGATTGGTTCAATCCGATCCAGTCCAATTCAATCCAATGATATTTTAGACCAATCCAATTCAATATCTGAACTGTGCAGTCTGTTTAAATTTGTTTTAATTTAGATTGGCTTTAATCCAAACCTGATCTATTGACACCTACAGGCAGATTTATGATGTCTCTCTCTCATACACCAATGTGGCTCCCATCATGTCTCTATTATACACATGAATCTTGCAATCAATGAGGTATCATTCATTGTACGATTAAAAGTAGATGGTTTCACAAATTACATTGTATGGTTCAAAAAAATTGTCAATTTTCAAAAAAGAGAGAGAGATATTAATGTGATTCTGAACCATACCACCCTTTGATAAACCTATGAACCGAATTCATTCCTCTTGTGGACCAAGAAGACACCCTATTCCAATAATGTTGTGTCATTCAATAGCGTCCCGGTGATATCATACATGGGATCCACTCTATATTAGCTATAAGCCCAACGCAACACAAATAAGGCAGGCTCAATACTATATAAACCCCACCGAGGCAAACTTCTTTCCACACCATCCAGCGACCTTACGCTCAGAAACATAATCACAAACACTTTGTGATGTCTGGGGTGTGGGTGTTCAAGAACGGTGTGGTTCGCCGGGTTGAAAACCCGAAAGTGGAGTCTTTAGACGGAAGTGGTCGACAAGCGTCGACCACCCGGCGGAAGGTTTTGGTTTACACGCCAACTAACGAGGTAATGACGTCTTACGCCGTTCTGGAGCTGAAGCTGTTGGGGCTGGGATGGGAGAGGTATTACGATGACCCAGACCTGTTTCAGTTCCACAAGCCATCCACGATTCACCTCATTTCTCTCCCCAGGGATTTCAGCAGATTCAGGTCCATGCACATGTTTGACATTGTTGTCAAGAATCGGAACAGCTTCGAAGTTAGGGATATGTGACCCGTCGTCCATCGATTGGCTGGTGGTCTGTGTCTGCTCTGTTAATTAACTTGTATCTCTATCCACCCACCATCTCAATTACTATGTTTGTTTAGCTTGCTGGTCTCATGGGTTGTTTTGTTTTTCTTGTATCAACACTTCACCAGTCACCTGTTGTTTTCTTTTTCTCTTTCTCTTTGTGGGTCTCTCTCCTTTTATTGTAAAGGTGGCCTGGTGCTGGTGCATATATATATATAAAGGAAGTAATTAAATACATGGAAATTAAGGTCTTAGCTTATTGTTTCGCCTGTTGTTTTTGAAAATCTTGATGCTTTGATCCAGCAATGAAATATGGGTTTGGTTTGTGGTGTAATTAATAATTTATTTTTATTAATTAATTTCACGTCTGGTCATTAGGCCTTTCCTTAAGGCAAATGATTCTCAGGTAAAGATTTTGTATATGTTTGACACTGATGCTGCAGATATAACACCGTTTATTTAGAAAATGGTGTTCTTAATGTGTGGGTTGGAAGAAAATGACGTTTTTTTTCAGAATTGTTACTGTCAGGTAGGATGTTTTCAACACTGATATCCATTATCCAGTGCAACATCACTGCCACCTCACATCCCTCTTGACACCAATGAATCGCAGTTCTAGGAAATGTCAAATTTGCCATTACTCTAAATCATGCTTTCCTAATTTTTAAGACATGATTTAAAATACCATTTTTTATGAAAAATTATTTCAAACAACGTCCATTTCCTGAAGCATCATTTTTTCCAAGATGTGATACCGTTTTCTGGAGCAACGGCAACGGTGCCAAACAAACGCTTTGATGGGAGATTTTAACGTTTTGCGCGGGTGGGGTAAATAATTTATCCACTCCCAGGAAAATCCACAGGAAGGAGGCCTAAGTATTCATCTAGATCAAGCTACCATATTATCTCATGTTTAACTGAGCCTGTTAAATGAATAATGCGCATTATTGATGACGTGGACGTCGAAATGATGAGGTGGCAATGACATGTATCAGGCATTATTAGCTCTTAAGAGTGCATACCCTCTTGTGTTATTATTGTTGTTCGGTTTTGGGCTTGAGACACACGGCCCAAAAATCACAGGAATGAAATGGGTGGGGGGCAACCTCCACAGTTGCCCGCCCATAGGGGATTCTCTTCTAATGATGGAGAGGATGAGACTGCGCAGGATTTGATTGAAAAGATAGTATAGGGTTGGGGGGAGAAGCAGCAAAAAGCGAGCTGTTAGTATTGCTTAGTATTAACGTCCCTAAGCCACGTGGCTACATCCTAATAGTGGTTATCTTATCCAAATTCCGATTCTTAAATATTACAATTGATTTTATAGTTAGAATAGGTTTGATGTCAGCTGAAGTGATCGAACCAGTAAACTTAATTTGCTTTGAAAAGAGGTCATGATTATTAACTCTTTATCGCCAAAAGGAAGGAATTTAGATCGAATCTTCACATAGTGATGAGGAGATGTTCTCATGGTGGGATGGGATGTAAGGTCGATGTAAGGTGCCTCTGTGAGAGCAAATCTCAACTTGATTAGAAGTTGAAATTGGGTTGATTACTATGTGTTTAAATGTTTTATTGTTTAATTATTTTATTCAATTAATAGATAAAAATAATGTCATTCAGTTCTACCACCTCAACCATTATCAAATAACCTTTGGTCATAACTGACCAAGGGGTTAGGGTTAATGCCAAGGCTACTCAGAGCAAATTGGAGCACTGGGCTCTTTTATGGTACAACTACAAACGCAATACAGATAAATAGCAAATTGGACCTGGTTGTCCAACTCAACTATTAGATCGGTTCTAGTTCTAGGAACTAGAATTAATGGATCTGTTCCGGTTCTTGATATATTGTCTCGATATGTATAATATTAAATAAATTAATATTATATTGTTTAATATTTTTAATAGGTTTATTATAATCGGATTTATTTGGAGAACCGATCAATTCAATTCTGAGTTTAAAATTGCAGACCCTATTAGGTTTGGCTTGATTCTAAATCCCTGATAATTTCTTTTCGGGTTGGGCCTGGTTTTACTTAGACCCAACCCATTGACTGCCCTATTTGGATTAGCCCTTTAAATACCGAGATATTCTACCGTTAGGAGATCATTTTCTTGAACAAGCATAGTTTGCATTTTCTTGGTACAAAGAAAGATGGGTTCTCTAACAATGACGAAGGGTAGAGCAGACCCAAAACATCTAATCTACCTTTCTCAAAATCACAGTAATGAAGTAGCTGTGCAACTTGTGAGACCGGTTCAAAAGCCTGATTTTAATATAGTATAAAATTTTCAAATCAAGTATCCAATTTACACCCCTATTATAAAGAGAAGCATCTTTAAAATTTAACCAATGTCCAAGATATCTTGGATAATATTTCTTATGTTATAGGACTCATGCTGTCAATGACCAACTCCTTCAACAGTGATGGATTGGTGATTTATCTCTCCCTAGTGGCTCCGTATTTCGCTAGCTATTAGGCCTCATGGTAGGGTCTGGATCTGCTCCTCACCAAATGCGTCTCACGCCGACCTCACAGCACATATCCTCCGTGCATTTGAAACATTTTCTCGTGAATTAAAAATTTACAAGTAAGAGATGTTCAAGGTGCGCGATTGATATGTCCTGTGAGGTCGGTGTGAGGCGCAGTTTGTGAGGAACGCATCCTATCTCCTCATGGCAATCAATTACAGATTACATTGCGTACAACTCTTCTACTTGGGGCGGATAAAAACCGGAGAGAATCTAATATTTTGTCTTTCAATAAAGAATGCATTTGGATTTGTTTGTACTTTTCCATTTCTTTAATCTTAAATATGGGAATCTAAATATGCCTCTTTCTATAAATAAGACATACTACGTACTATCCTCATCGTCTATGCCTTAGGTATGTGTTTTTTTATTGTTTCCAAAGTGGACTTCTTCATGGACCGGATTCAAGCTTGGTCTTTACCAAAATTTTAATGGGCCTAGCCCGAAGCTTGAGTGTGAGATAGTATAAAGTTGAACTCAAGCCCAGTCATTAACAGGTCTAGTTCCAAATTATATATATGCTTATGTTCCAAAATCAGGAAAAAAAAAACATATTCTTAAATTTCTAGTTTAAAGAACAGTTTGAACCACTCAATCCACTCATCTTAAATTTAATCATACCTAATGAAGGCAGATTTGGCCCTCTAGTGACAGTGTGCCATGTGGCTATCCTAGAACCATAATATGACACTCCAACACCACGTAGGCGATAACTTGCCTTATTCAAAATGATAGAGACCTACTCGGAACCACGTTGGATGCGCCTCGCATGCCCTGAGGGTTCTTAGTCACCACCTCACCATGGCCGACCTGTAAACACCTCGTTATGATCGGGGCGACCACCTTAGGACCGAGCTTGAGACCTTGGTACGAAGGGAGACCTCCCACCGAGGACTCACCGATCAAACTAAGGTCCAGGTAATAATCTACATGACGTGCTAGCCAACCTGCCTACACCTACGCCGACTTGACAGAGACCTAGCTTACGACCTACCTCCGTCGACCTGATAGAGACCCAACTAGCGACCTACCTTCATCAACCTAATAGAGACCCAACTGACGACCTACATCTGCCAACCTAAAGGCATAAGGTCTCGACAATAATACTAGGTCGGCAAAAGAGGCAACCTACCTCCGCCGACTTGAAGAAGACTCAGGTGGCAACCTCATCAAGACTGAGCTAGGGACCTCGACGTTAGGGGCGACTTGACTGACATGGAGACCGGTCACTTCGAAGTGAAACATCATGCCCAACTCCTATGGGATAATGTCACTTGATCGTTAGACCCATCTCCCCATGCCACCCGCTTCGAAGTTAATCTATGCAGATTCCATTTCTGACTAAGAAACTACTCCCGAGCATGGCGGATGACTTATCAAGGATCTTGGACGTGCTATGGCCGCATCCTCCTGGAGATCTTGGACGCATTACGGTTACAACGACCTATGCCTATATAAAGGTGTCTCCTTCAATCAAAAGAGGTATGCGTGATCTAGATCTCACACACTCTAGCTTTTTCACATTCTTGTAATCACATTATCAGTTCACTGACTTAAGCATCAAAGTGCCCACTCCAGGTAAAGCAACCTGAACACTCTAATCACTTCTTTCTTGCAACTCGACTAGGCAACCTACGCAATTCGACGTCCGAGTTATCTACCAGTAGGGAGCACCAAACTGTGCATCATCAATTGGCGTCGTCTGTAGGAACACACTACACAAAAGCTAAGTTCTCGCCCATTCTTTAAGCCTTAAGTAATGGAATCCTCAAGCAACAACAGCAATGCCTAGATCGAAGGAATCCCCATAGGGGGCAAAATCAAAATGATCATCTTGGATAGAATCTCCTAGCCCTAATTGTGAGGCTGCCCTCACAGGTCGAGCCCTCCATAGTTCCCGTGTGAGTTAATGGCCAACAGACTGTGGAACTGCTCTCGTAGGTTAGCCCTGTATGGTTTTTGTGGGAGTTGACAGCCAATAGACTGTGGAGCTACCCTCGTAGGTCAGCCATATCAAGGTGACAAGGTGTGTGTAGGCCAAGGTGCTAAGATCAAACTAGCTTGTTAATATTTCGGTAAGGTCAAGTTGACGTAAGAGGTAACCTAATTATGCCAACTTGATTGAGACCCGCTTTGGCGACTTGGACGAGTCAACTCGCGATACACGCACTTTAGCAAAAATCTACGAATGAGAAGCCATACCACATTTAGCATTAAGGCTCCCTCAAGCCGACCTATTCGAAACACAATGACAATTGATAATTGACTTGCGCTAAGCGCACGTCTACTCGCTCAAAGATGCAACATCGTCCTTGTCCTCATCAACAACACCCTCATTGGCATCATTCTCGTTGCCCTCTTCGCTATCCTCCACTTCAATTTTGGGCTCTACATCGACATTGTTGGCCACCCACTCGAGGACTAGCTTGAGGGACACCGCGTAGAAGTCTGTAAGTGGAGCGACCTAAGGAAGCATGGAACAGTTTGAAGTCCTTATTGAGGGTGGGCACGACAACCTCTGCTCTTGAGGTACTCAGACGAATGATGGAACTCCTTGATGGCTACACCCCTAGCTCAGCGGATGCCCTCGGATTGCCCACTATGCCTCTCCTCGTATTTATGAGTTCGCTCCTGCACCCAGTGGTCAAAATGGCGATGTTCTACCTAGTGCCACATTTAGCCCTTAGACTCTTTTAGCTCAGGCA